AAAAAAAAATGGTTCTAGACAAAAATTGAGATAAATTTAAATTTGTGGATGGAAATAGTTAATATGATATCAAAATGAAATGATAAAATTAATATGATATAAAAATGATAAAATATTAAATAGTAAGATAAGTGGTAATTAGAGATGTACTAGTGAATGAATAATTAGTTTTAGTTGGAGGGTGTGTTTAATTGGGATATAAAGGCTATGTTTGGTTATTGGCGGTTTGGGCAAAAAAGCCAAATTAGCGGTTTTGACCAAGAAAAACTGCTAACAATAATGTTTGGTTAAGCAACTTATTAACTTAGCGGATTGGGCAAAAAAGCTGAAATCTGAAACGCTGGGAATGAGAGCGTTTGTGAATGGCTTTTTGCATTGTTTAACTAGATCATGTATTTTTTATTAGTTAATTATTATTAAAAACTTACCTACATTGCTAACCAAATAATTTATTTTTAAAGTAGCACTGAAGCAATAGTACACATGTTTTTGCATTACAAAAGCTAATCATTTTTAATTCGTTTAGTATATGCTATTCAAATAAATAACAAAAAAAAACTGTAAAATTTGATTCATTACTGATTTATTGATAGATAATTACTTACTTTTTTAATTTTTATTTCAAAGAGTGACTCTCAATTTTATTTGTAGTTGTTGTAAAATTATAAAACATAAATCAGATTGTATTAATAAATAATTTAGCAACGACTAATATTCAAATAGTTATTTTACCAAATCGTACCAAACGTTTTTTAATTCGTGATGACTTGTTATTGGTTGTTTAAACATTGTTGACGAGCAATCGCCAACGGTCCTTAATCATTGGGTTAAGGAAAGATGAATTACGATTAAATGAGGGACCGATCTAGTGAAAGACAAAGTGATGTATGAAATAGTGGGAGGATAAAGAACACACGATTTTGTCAATCTATTGGGAGATTGACGAGAAGAAGAGTTCTCCGAAAATGCAAATAGCAAGGATTGTTATTGTTACAACAGTGACTATGATTTGAGCTGTGTATGCTCATATGTTGCTATATTGTAACGATATGAGATTTGCTAGTATATATTTATATGTGTGTATCTTGTTCTCCTTCTCCATATGCCTGTTAAATTGAGAAGTTGAGAGCCACCTTTATACTATGAGAAAGGTGAAATGTGATTATAGCTACTTGTCACCTCGATAGCTAAGCGAATGTCGCGTGGTGCCATGCAGAAATTTGCATTTTGAGGACGAGACGTATATTCTTCAACCCTGCAAAATATGTGCAGTTTGGATGGCGAGAGAAGATCACCTTCTTCAAGGGCTTTACGACTGTGGCATGTCAGAGCGCGTTGATAAATTGCAGAGCGATCGAAAATCATGGGATCGGTGCTTTTCGGTACCTGACGATCGGGCGATCGACATATCGTCTTCTCACTTTCTGGCCGATCATGTGGAGTTCCACAAGTTTCTTGGGCTTTGCTTAGACATAAGACAATTTTGGTGATAATGGGCCATCTTGCCTTCTGAATTTTATATACCTTTAGAAGACGCTTTTATGCAATATCCAACAAACATATTTGCATTTTTAAACAGATTTATTGATATCTAAATGGGTCCAAGAAAATATAACACATCAGTTCTTCCAAAAAAACTGGACAATATTTTAACTTCAACTTTCTACATTACAATTAAACATTAACTCATTCAATTTATATAGATTTGTGCTTTGAAAATTATAAATAAAAAAAAAAATCAAATTTTAACTAACAAAAAATTATGCATGCAATTAACAACTAATATATCCTTAACCCTTCCAAAGCAAATACCACCAGCTATATAACGAATAGCAAAACATCTACTCACTACAATGTTTCTGAATATAATAACCGGCAAAACAAAGCTACATTACTGAAAAAAAAAAAAAAAAGAAAAAAAAAAATGCCAACAGAAAAGAAACAGTTACAACTAAAAATAGCAATAGCAGTCTATATAGTAGTGACACCAAGTATCAAAGATACAGAAAACTTGAATAAAAAAACAAAGGTGCCTTGAAGTTGAAGAGAGGAGCAGATACAATCTCGTTACAGTACGCAGATACTTTTTATCCCACATTCCAAACCGAACTCTAACTAGAAACCCATCGACATTCCTCAATCGATCTTCACGGACGAAAAAAGGTAATGCACAAAGTAGAACGACGTGAGAAACCCAATGGTTCCGGTCGCGAGCATAATCGCGACCGCCATTATCAATGAGTATCCCAAGTAAAGCGTGGCCGACACGGCCCCACTCAGGCTCTGCAGATCAAACACCAGATAATTAATCGAGTAAAGGAAAACATAAAGCGAAACCGAGCCCGACGCATAGAAGGCCTTCCACCACCACATCCAGTCCTCGACACACAAGTGCATGTAAGTCAAGACAACAGACACCTCGGCACAGACGACCACCAGCAGTAGAAGAACAATCAGCAAGAAACCAAAGACGTAATAGAATCTCCCGAGCCAGATGCTCGAGAGTATGAAGAAAAGCTCGATAAAGAGAGTCCCGAAGGGAAGTGTCCCCGCACCCAGAACAAGAAGCCATGAGGGGTACTTACGGGCGGGTATCTCCCGGGGAATCTGATTGGTCCGGACAGGGTATGGAATAATCTCAGCACGCGCACCGAAAAGCCCTCCCACAAGAGTGAGAGGCACCGAGATACAAAACCAGAGAGTAAAGAGAATGAAAAATAGAGAAATCGGGATGGAACCGGTACTTTTACTTCCCCAAAGGACGAAATTCAAAAACGTCAATATAGCAAAAACGATGCCCGGGAAAAAGCACGCTATCGACCAAGCAACCGATCTCCACCCCTCGGATGAACCCTTAATAGTCGTCCACATGCGGACACCTACGTAACCAGCAACAATTCCTAGGAAGAGATAGAGCAAAATCATACCAGTCAACAGCATGCCTCGGGAAGCAGGTGACATAAAGCCAAAAGCTGCAAAAACAATAGTGACAACAGCCATCCCAGTAATCTGAACACCATCACCAACCATGACACAAAGTAGCGTTGAGTGTGAAGGTTCTCTGAACACATCCCCAACCACAAGCTTCCAACCAGAAAGCTCCTCGTTCATCTGGGCCTGAGCCTCCTTGTCCAATTCCTCGTACCTTGTAAGATCCCTTCTGACAGTTCTTAAAAATATGACAAAAACAATGCCAGCCAGAAAGAAAATCACCATCAACGAGTTGAGGATCGAGAACCAGTGCACGCGGGACCCTTCCATCTTCAGGTAAGCATCCCACCTGGACGGCCAGCGAATGTCGCTTTTAACAAACTCAACCTCATACGTGAACGACACCCTCTCCTGCTCCCTTATGATCTGAGACTTTTCGAGCTCGAGCGGGCAGTTGACAGATGGCACGCTATCATAGATGTGAAGTTTCATCATCTTCTCGGGGTCGTATTTCACGCTGCACGGAATCACCTCGAAGCCAACGATCTCATACCCTGAAGCCTTTTTCTTATCAGCTTCGGAAATGATACCCATTCCCTCCTCTCCAGTACCGATTATCTCAACACCAGCTCCTTCATACTCGTGGATAAGCACCCTAAACTTGAGATGGTTGATGATGTAATCATCATTACTGCCTGCAGGGGTGTATCCCACCGGGTAACCCGTCCACTGGATTTTGACACCATTTTGGTTGGTAAATCTCATAGCGGGCAAATTATCAAGAATCATGTTCACTTGATAGAGGTCCCGTGTTCTCTGTTTTAGAAGCTTCACCTCATTCTCATTCAATGGATGGGTGGTGCAGAGGTACAAAGACTCGTTGACGTTCATACGGAAACGATAAGGTGAGTTGTCGATTTGATCTCCCATTAGAAGTTCTCCAAGATTTTCAGCACTTTTCTTGATGCCCCCAAGAGGCTTGCAGTAGGGAAGACTATAGTAGCTGAATGGGAGCTCAGTCTCTATAGAGGTCAAGGAATTCACCTTGGCGTAAATTTCATCCATTGTCGAATATGTATGCATGTAGCTCCCCGGTAGATAAAAACAATTACCGGTTTGGAGTATGAGAACCACATATAAGAAAAAGGTGCATAATTTCCTTCTTGAGATCAAAGGCAGAGCCATCGTTCTAGAAGGAAATAAAGGAAGTATCCCCAAACCAGCTACACAAAGATACACGGCTCTAACCTGCAATTGAAGTACTAAAATGTCACATACTAAGTAATCAGTATAAAAGACTTTTCAGGTGAATATTCATAAACATTTTTCGTAAGATGTCTAAGTAGGATCATTTTGTTTCTGAAAATGGATCAGATCGCACCTCATGCCACTCAGTTATCAACCCCATATTCATATTTTCGATAAAATCAATGGATACTAATAAGTATAATTTTGCTTCCTATTATCAACTTCTGATCACAGTTAATTTTTTGTTAAGCTAGACAAAAAGAGAAATGTACCAAATTTTAAAATAATTGCAACTCCATACAAGGGAGGAAGTCTCTCAAAGATCTTGAAAATTTTGATTCCATACTTTTCTAAACAACGCCATTCTTGCAACAATATGCACATGAAACAAGTTTAAAATGTTTATTTGATGTCACTTATGTTCTGCATGCACTCCTACTTCTGACTTATATTGAATGAAAGGGAAAAAAATATTTATTTTCTGTCCTCGAGCATGTTCAGTCTCCAAACTCGTAAACCACAGAACTTCCATGCTACTGAGAATGCTTCCTACTCCTTCAAAGTATACATTTGAAAAGGAATAACGTGGTATAATGTAGAAGATAATAACTAATACGGTTTACCAAAATGCAGTAAAAAAAAAGATTTACAACTATTAAATAATTGAGTTACGTCAATGTACTTATATACAAAGGGAAGCAACATCATTAACCTAAACAAAAGTAAAAAATTTAACGCCATCCGATAGCTAAATTAAACCCTCACAAACCAGCAAACCGGCATTTTTCAATAGCTATTAATTACACACAGGTCACTAGAAGAAAAACTAATGATAAACATGAACTACAGCTGGAGCAACAGCGGCATAGTAGTCCACTGCCATCCGCAGTTAACTATAAAATCTGTCATTGACGAGTTAAATTTACATTACATTTATCTACCTTCTCAAACATAAAGCATTATGAAAAATAAATAAAATAAGAATAACTACATAACATTGCAACATGATTTTACATAAAAGTAAAAAGTAAATATATTAGTGTAGTACATGTACGCTTTCCAATGACTTCAACAACAGATGTTAGTGCCACAAATTATTCACTACCAATTGGACAAACAAAGTTAAGTGAGGTGTATTCAATTGAAACTCTTAAAAATTTAAGACTTTATAAAAAGAGCGACTTTGGTAGACTTCGTGATATTTTAATGACTTTGGTGGACACTTTTGAGATTTTTCATTTAATTTGTATCAAAGACTTTAAAACTTTTATCATATAGAATAATTATTATGTTTGCATGAAATGTTCATGAACATCATAACTAATATCAATAAAATCAAGCTATTTTTTCCTTCAAGAAAATATTAAACTAATGTGTTCTGATAGTAAACACCAACTATTCAACATAAAGAAAGAAAAAATAAAATTTTTGCAGCATTACAATTTTTCTTTTTATGTAAAATATGAACAAATAACTCTCTAAAATTGAGAATCAAATTGCTATTCGATGTAAGCTATTCGCGAACACAACTCATTTCTGCTTGTAAAAGCTCAAACTCTGATAATTTGTGTTCTTAAAGGAATTGAGCCTGTAAAAATTAAACGAACCGAACAGAGTTTATTCACGAACTAATCATTTTTAATTATGCATTTTTCATAAAGTGCGATTGTGTTGAATTTATTTGCATTTTTTTTTTTTTAATTTCCACAAACAACTCGTTTAGGGCCTCAAGTTTATTAAAAGAGCCAAGTTGATCCAAACTTTCATGAGCTTCAACGAGTCGAACTCGAGCTGAACCTCATATATATTTATTTAATGAGAACAAACTCAAACATGAGTTACTCGTCTCGGATGGAATGACTCATAATCAGGCCAGTCATGATATACTTACGTGATTATTGTTGAATTTAATTTCAACTTTAAAAAAAAAAATTAGTGCCTCATGCTGCAGTATTACAAAAATACTAGTACAACACCCGTGTATTACACGGGTGCTTGTTAAGAAATTATTCTTAAATTTTAAAATTAATGAGAAAACTATATTAAATTTAGTTTACTTTTTTATAAAAAAAAATATATTACTATATATTTTAGAATGATATGTGTTACTTATGACTTACATGTGTTATACTATATTAGTTTTTATAACTTATATCATATAACTACTTGAAATATAAATATATGATAAATAATTTTATTTTTCTAATTAATATTAAAAATAATTTTATTATTGTTATAAAGATAAATATAAATTATTTTTCTTATACATACAAGATGGATGTTAAATCGAAGCTCATCAAAAGAAGATTAATTTGATATATTACATATGTAAAACTGATAAAAAATACAAAAGTTATTAACTTTTAAAATATATATATAATTCAATAGTTATAATAAGGAATGATATTAAAATGCAATTAATACATGTAACATGACCATAAATAATTAACATATTTATAAATAATTAACATGAACCTAATTATTTTTGGTTTGGAATTAAATTAAAATTTACCCAAGCTTGAAGCATGTAATTTTGCCACATAGGATTCTGAAGCACCAGAAGCAGCCACGTAGGCTCAGCGCGTTCTGAATTAATATATAGGGGGATAATTATGATATCTTTTTACAAGGCACAAATATTGTAAAAAACAGTGCAGAAAGTGAAATTCTAAGCATGTGCAAACTATATAAACATTTGACTTTTGAAAAGTCAAATTCTCAAGCATGAAAATGAGAAAATAAAAGTAAAATAACAAAAAACAACCATAATAAAAAAACTAAAAAAAAAAAAAGAAAAAATCACGTTAAACACTTGTGATGAAAAAAATAAATTATACAAGCTATCAAGATATATGAGTACAAAATCTTACAAATTTGATGAGATTTCTACATAGAGCCCAGTAAGTTCAACAAACTCTCATAAATTTGAGGAGATTTCTACTTGGACTTGAAGAGAGCCAAGTAAGTTCATCAAAATCTCAGAAATTTCATTAAAAAAGTCTTCAAAAGTATTCCAATTCGACTTCTTACTTTGAATAACAGATGACACGAAGATTCTTACATTGTTTTAATTGAGTACCTCGAGACTTTTAAAGATTTATAAAAAATCATTAAAAGACTGAATTGAATACAAGCAAACTTTTTTACAAGTCTAAAAAACTTTCAATTGAATACAACAAAATTTAAAAGTCTTAAAATGTCTATAAAATTTCAAATAAATACACCCTCTTAAATATATCCGCCAAAAGTTAACAACTTCCATTATCATCACTGTCTATCCAACATAACAAGATATAACTCAGAACGACAGACGCTCGAGATAATTAAATACCGACAACTCTTACAGAACGACTTTTGCCGTCCGGCAGCACACCGGTCAATCTCTAATTACCAAATCCATAAAATGCAGTGGCAGAATCCTCATAATCCATTTTCGCACCAATTATTAATACTAATATCCACGAAAAAAAAATCATAAATTATTGAATTCATCGAGTTCCCAAATACTAACCTAACAATTAAAAATACCAGTCCATACATAGATCTACAATCAAGTGCCCAAATTCAACCCAAATCAAGCGTTTCAAACCAGCAGATCATGGATACAAAACTCAATTCATCGTAACAAAACGAGGAAATCATAAATAAAAGAAACAAAAACTCAGAAAATAAGTATACTTCTTCGAGCGGCGCGAGATAAAACGTACCGATGGTGGATCTGAGAGTCGTAACGGGCGAAATTAAGGTCTAGCAGTTACAGTGCGGTGGAGATTTTCGCATACGAAGTTGACGAGAGAGTGTGCATCTGAGCAAAATTGGGAGCTGTGTTGTTTGCAGCAACCCTTTCAATCGTGGATTTTAAAGTTCCAGATTTAGATCTCACGCAGGCTCACGTTGTTTTTGGGGAGTTATTTTCGCACTTTATTCATCGTGTAAAGGACATAGTTACCCCTCACTCGGTCCCAAATTTTAGGTGGTGTTCCATTATAAACAAGTTGGGTGGTGGTTTGTGATCTTTTGGCAAATCCGAACCTGATTCGCATATATTTTGCCCAACCCTACCCGCTCCATTTTTTGTTTGGCAAACCGGAACCTAATTCGTATTTATTTTGCGCGCTCCCACCCGACCCGTCTCGTCTATCAACCTTCGGGTTAGTGTAGGGTTTAATCGAGCGGGTAATTGGGTGTCGCCGAGTAATATAAATGGATAACATGGGTTTTTAAGATTAGTCTTTACCTTGTCCCAATCGGGCCTTTGTTTATGCTTAAAGATTAAAATCATTTCATAATTAATAACAACACAACTAATAAATTATAAACTAAGTTTGAAAATAAAATAATTCTAAAATACTTTACAATATTTTTGAAAAAAAATAAAGAGATTGAATAATTTATGTATATTATAGTAAATTATTAATAAATTTCTAAAATGATTGAGATTCAAACTATGTCTATACGAGGATTTGCATAAAAATGTAATATTCCAAGTATTAAAGTATAAAAAAAAAAAGAGAAAATATTTTCTTTAAATTTTGCAATTATATTATGTATGTTTCATTTTTTTTTTCACGATTATGAGTTTCGATAAAGAAGTATTAGAAATGTTCCCCTACCCACGGTGGGCAGATGTTAATATGCCCACCGCGTAGGTTGCATGCACTCATTGGTGATGTATTTTTTAAAACATATTAACATCACCAATGAATGATGCCACCTACACAGTGAGCATATTAACATGTGCCCACCGTGGGTAGGTGAGCATTTCTCAGAGAAGTATATTTAGACACATTTAGTTTTTTCAAACTCCATTAAAACCG